GTCGGCTGCCCGCCGCCGGCTCCTGCCACGCCGAGCGGTGCCGCTCCGTCTGACGGCCGCCACCCGCCCTCCAGGAGCACCCGCTGTCGTTTCGGCCGGGCCGCGCCAGCCCGCCCCCGGACACCAACGGCGGCCGCTTCAACCCCAACTTCCGGCGTGACCTGCCGCGCTCCAGCGACCTGCGGCTGGTCGACCCGGGCACGGGTCAGGTCACGGAGCAGCTGGCCAGCCCGCAGCACGACGAGGCGCCCAGCATGAGCCTGTCCAGCAGCGCCGCAGGTCAGGCGCCGCAGACACGGCCGGCAGATACCGGTCGGGCCGAGCCGGAGCCGGAAAGCAGGGGAACGATTGCCAACAAACGTCACTGCTGTGCTGCGAGCGGCTTGTTGATGTGTTGCAGGCAGTGGGCGGTTGTTTGGTTGTCACCCATGGGTGCAGTGAGCTTATAGTCAGTTTCCTCGGCCGTGTTTGGTTTGGATTGTGAGTGCATGTGCCCTCGGCCCTGGTGGCTGTCGTGCGCGACTGACGCCGCCCCGCCGTGTCCGCCAGAGGAGCCGCCGCCGCCCATCACTGAGCTGGAGCGGGAGCCGGCGGTGGAGGCGCCGGCCGCCGGCCGGTGCCGGAGCCCGAGCCAGAGCCGGAACCGGAACCGGACCCGGACCCGGAGCCGGCCGACGCCGCCGACGGCGGGCCGCGCCGCGTCGGCTTCAGCGTGCAGGCCGGCGAGGATGAGTCGGAGCCACCGCCCGGCGAGCGGCCCAACCGGCTGCACCGGCGCGACACGCCCCATCACCTCAGAACAAGCGTATCAGCGACAAGGTGACGCGGCCAGCGGGTGGAGCGGCGCCAACAGATCAGGGGTCAGGGGCGGGCTCGAGTGCGGAGAGATCCGGGTCTTGGTGATTTAGCCAGTCATTTATTTTTGAGGAAGGTGGTTGCACTTGGCTTGAAGCGCCCTGGCTCTGCGGGTATTGTTGGCGCGGGCCGTGCGAGCGGCGTTCCAGACGGTGCTGTTCGGTCTCCCGGCGCCCCAGCCCGGCGCGCTCACGCCCCTCCCTCCCTCCGTGGCCGCAGGTGGACCAGGACCAGGTGGCGTCCATCATCGCGCAGGCGCTGCAGCGGCGCGACGGCGCCGGCGCCGCGCCGCTGCCGACGCCGCCGCCGACGCCGGCGGCGCTGCGCTCGGAGCGGCCTGACCAGCCGGACAGCGAGCCGACCGTGCGGGTCGTGCAGGAGCCACACGACATCACCGTCCAGGTGGGCGGCGCGGCCGGGCTCGCCGGTCCGGCCGCAGCTGGCCGCCGGGGTGGGGTCTGGTCCCAGGTGACCTGAGCGCTGTCACTCGCGGTCAAGGTTCGAGGAGGAAAGGTCAAGGCTGTCTCCGTGGCTCAGGTGCTAGGGCACTGGACGCATGGCCGCTGTTGGGTAGACGTACGCTCAATGCGCTCCCTAAAAACCGCGCTAGTAGGACTCGCCAGTGGCGGCCCTTGCTAACTCGCCAAGGAGATAGGGCGAGTGAAGGCGGCAGCGTCGCGAAACGGAACAGATCAGTAAGAATGATGGCACAAACTGCGCATTATGCTTAGTTTAATGTACCACAAGGATGAACCCCTTCAGACAGTAATGACTCTGATCCCATGGCCATGGTCGCAAAACATGGGATCAAACGTAAAAAGAAGCTGTACCTCCGTCACAGTGATATATCAGAAAACTGCATCGGTGCGGTATTAGCCTCGGTCTGGTAACGGCGAGTGAGGCGGCGACGCCCGGCACTGTCATGCGTACCTGTCGGCTGATGTCGGCGCGTCTGTGTGGATGCATTGTGTGTGTGATTAGCGGGGCTGGGCCGCTGTGTAGTGAGTGCGCGCGCGCCAGCCGCTGCTGACGGCCGTCCGCCGTGCCCAGCGCGCCGCCTCCGGCCTCGGCCTGAGCATCGCCGGCGGCAAGGGCTCGACGCCGTTCCGCGGCGACGACGAGGACGTGTTCATCTCCAAGGTGCTGGACGGCGGGCCGGCCGACCTGGCCGGGCTGAGGGTGAGTGGCGGCCGAGAGGCGCTCGCGGTGCCGGTCCGCGGGCCGAGGAGGCGCTCGCGGTGCCGGTCCGCGCCGGTCGCTATCGCCCGGCTGTCCGCCATGCGGGCGGCCCACAGCCTGCGGACTGCCGTAGACGTGCCGTTCAGGAGTGTCACACGAGTGCGCGTGAAAGTGCATTGAATGTGCTTTCACTAACTGGAGCAATGGCTGTTCGCGGTCCGTTGCGAAACTAGACAGTGGTTTATCACGCTTACCAGTTGCTGCCAGCGTCACCCATGAGTAGCTATCTCGACTTCATCTCCAGGCGCGGTCGCTGACTAGACGTGTTGTCTCGTTCCCTCTGAAGTCTCGTTCCCTCGTTCCCACGCTAGCTCCTCCCAGCGGAACCCAGCTGCCCAGGGACGTGCCGACGGGGCGTCGCCCTGCTCCTGTCCTCGTCCGCGACCACCTCAGTCGACCATCGTCCTGCCCTGCCCTGCCTGCCCTGCTTTGCTCCACCCAGCGGAACCCAGCCGCCCAGGGACGTGCCGACGGGGCGTTGCCCTTCTCCTGTCCTCGTCCGTGGCCGCCTCAGCCGACCATCGCCCTGCCCTGCCCTGCCCTGCCCTGCCTGCCCTGCCCTGCCCTGCCCTGCCCTGCTCTGACCGCCTCCCTGTCGCTGTCCAGGTGGGTGACAAGCTGACGTCGGTGAACGGCGTGCCGGTGCTGGGCGCCGACCACTACGAGGTGGTGGGCATCCTGAAGGCGGCCGGTGACGCGCTGCACCTGTCCGTGGTGCGTGAGGTGACGCGGCTAGTGCCGCCGCCGCCGCCGCCGGCCGCGCCCAACGGTGGCCCGGCCGTGCTGCCCGCCGACGCCGTCAACGAGCACGTGGTGCGCCAGCGACTGGAGACGCAGCAGCGGCTGCAGCGCGAGCTGGAACGGCGCCGCGCCGAGCTACGACCCGAGCCGCCGCCGCCGACGCCGCCGGCCGGCATGATCGCGCCGCCACCGCCGCAACAGCAGCCGCAGCCGCAGCCGCAGCAACAACATGCGGCGACGGTGGGTGCCGGGGGGGGGGGGGGGGGGTAGGTAGGTGGCATGTACTGTCGTAGGGGGAGCGTAGTGCCAGTTGGTAGTCAGGTTGGAGGGCCACGCGGCACTCGGCGTTTACCGCAGCAGTGGGTCAGTTGTCAGCTGTTGGCTGTCTGTTGTTGTCATCTAAGTTGTTGCCCCGACCACCGTGTCGTTCTCCGCCTCACCGCCGACTGCTATTACCTCTGCCGACCGCTCCGCTGACTCCGCCGCCTGCGCTCAGGTGAACGGCGAGACGGCCGGAGACGAGGTGGGAGACGGCCGCGCCGTCTCGGAGACGGGCGAACCGCTGGTGCCCCGGCTGGACACCATCCACACCACGCTCATCCGCGACAACAACGGGCTCGGCTTCAGTATCGCCGGCGGCAAGGGTGTGGCGCCCTACCAGGACGGCACCGACGTAAGTAGCCCGGCCTGCCGGCCGGCGTGGCACGGCCGCGCACACCCGGGGCGGGTCTGGGACTGGTTGGGGCCTGTCGTCAGCTGGGCATCCCGTGGGGGAAGACGCGTTTGTAGTGAGAGGGTCAAGCAGGCTGGCTTGGATGCAATTTTGTCACGTATAACTAAAATAGTATCGAATTGTGATTGGTGGACTAGTTGTTTCAGGATGATGAATTCATTTTGGGAAATATCATTTCAACAATGATGCTGCTGCTCTGACGCATTGTACATCATGTTTATGTCTAGTCACCTCACCTTAGGTGATGAGCGCGAGTCCAGATGGCTGTCGGTCCAGTGTTCTGTAGGGCAGAGGGTCGTGTTGAGCGCCCGCCTCACGCCCTCACCCACCACGAGTCGTGTGTGGCGGACCGGTGACTGGACCCCAGTCTGCGGTTCTGTAGGGCAGGGGGTCGTGTCGAGTGCCCGCCTCACGCCCTCACCTACCACGAGTCGTGTGTGGCGGGCCGCTGACTGGACTCGAGTCTGCGGTCGGTCGAGACACGCTGTCCGTGCGCGCCCTAACCCGTCGATGGCCACAGGCGGTGTACGTGTCGCGGATGACAGAGGGCGGCGCCGCAGAGCGCGACGGAAAACTGCGCGTGGGCGACCGCGTCATCTCGGTACGTTTGCGCTGCCCGGCCAGGCCTTCGCAGTGTCGGCTGGCTGCCCAGCCGGACCAGCGCGGTGTCGGCTGGCTGCCCGGCTGGCCGGCAGGGCAGCGGTCGGTGCAGCCGGGTGGTGTGTGTGTGTGATGGCGACGGCACGGCTGGCGTATTGCCTGCTGGAGGCGAGTGAGCCACTCCACTGGCCTGTCTGGATCTGAGGCTGGCGGGCCACGTCCGAGCTTCCTGACGGCCCTTCTGTCTGCATCACGGTCAGTGCCTACCACAGCCGACCACACGGAGAACACTGCTGCCCAATACCCGCCATCTATCGCTGTTCTCGTGTTTGTCTTCACCAACCAGCGGGCACTGACCACTTGTCCAGTAGGGACGGCCGACCTCTGCCCCGCCGCGCGGCCTGTCCGCCAGCGCCGCCTCACGCGCGTCCCTCGTCACCGCCAGATCAACGGCGTGGACGTGGAGGGGGCGCGCCACGACCAGGCCGTCTCCATGCTGACCGGGCTGGAGCGGTTCGTGCGGCTGATCGTGCTGCGCGAGACGCTGGTGCCGGCCTCGGAGGCGGCCGCCTCGCCCGAGCCGCGGCCCGCCTCGCGCTCCTACGGCGCCTACAGCCCGGCCAGCTACATGGCGCACAGGCCCATGTACGGCGGCTACCGGCGGCCCGAGTTCGGCACGCGTGCCAGCCTGCGCTCCTCCGAGCGGCTGTCGGCGGCCGAGCGCGCCGCCGCGCCGCCGGCCGCCGCCGAGCCGGCCGCCCAGGTGAGACAGCCGGCCGGGTGGAGCCGAGGCGCGGGCTGAGGGCTGACATGACCGGTGGGAGGGACACGAGCCGGACGCAGGCGGCGTGAGCAGGTGACGAGGTGGACACCGGTGATGTGAGCATGTGATCAGATGGACACAGATGACGTGAGCATGTGATCAGCTGGACACAGATGACGTGAGCATGTGACCAGATGGACACTGATGACGTGAGCAGGTGGCGATGTGGACAGAGATGACGCGAGCAGGTGATGATGTGGGCGGAGGTGAGTGGGTGACTCCGTCGCTCTGATGCCGGGGTTGGAAGCTCATGCTGTGCACCCAGTTGCGATATCTTTTACGGTTTTTTGGGCTCCGGAGCCAAGAAAAACGTCGTACGTCGTACGTCGTCGTCGTCAGTGCGGTAGCTCCTCCCCCACCCCCTCCCCCGCGGCTTGCGTGGAGCCCTGCATGGCAGTGGTGATGCTACTGTTTGAACATCGGGACCGCCCAAACCGTTGACATGCCTTCCTCTCTCCCAGATCACCACTTTGACCCTGCCGGACCACGGTCTCCCCCCCCCCCCCCCCCACCACGGCATTATCAGACGGTACCGATGCCCCCGGCCGGCGCCCGTGCGTCCGGGCCCGTCGTGACGGCTGTGACGCCGGTGACGTGTCGCTCCGCCTCGGCAGGACGTGGTGCTGAACAAGGCCGGCGGCCCGCTGGGCCTCAGCATCATCGGCGGCTCCGACCACAGCTGCCTGCCGTTCGGCCGCGACCAGCCCGGCACGTTCGTCTCCAAGGTACCGGCCGGCCCGCCGCGCCCGCTGGCGGCTCGGCCTGACGCTCTCGCCCCCTTCGGGGAGAGGTGGCTCAGTGTCGGTCCGCCAAGGATTTAAACATTGGACGCCAACAAGACGGAGACATTTACAGTTCTATGATAGCTTTGGAGAACACTGGTCAGTTTGAATTTTGCTGTTCAAGAAGCCAAAGTCCGTGAACATTTGAAGTGGGAGTCGAGGCTCACGGTGATCAGTGGTCACTGGTGTTGTACGGGGCATCTGAACCGGCGATTCACAATACATGTCATCCCAGCAATAACAGACAGTGCTGACGGTCGACCCGGTCCTACCCCATGGGCTGAGCAGGACGCCAATCTTGTCCCTTCCCGCCGCCGTCCGTAGCCGTGGTCTACACTAGCCGTCTGCTCCCGCCTGCCGCGCCCCAGGCGTCTTATCAGCCCGTGGCCGACACGTGGTCACAGTCGCTCCTCCGGTGCCGTCAGATAATGCCGGGCGGTGCGGCCCAGCGCACCGGCCAGCTGCGGGTCGGCGACCGGCTGCTGGCCGTCAACGGCGCCGACGTGCGCTGCGCCTCGCACGAGCAGGTGGTGATGGCACTGCTGGAGCCCTGTCTTGCAGATGACGCTGCGCGTGCGGCACGACCCGCTGCCGGCCGGCTGGCAGGTGGGTGGGGGTGCCGGCCTGGCGGCCACGGTCAGACCGGGCGGCTCGAGGTAGCGACGCCCGGATAGGCAGCTGGGGCGGAGGAGGATGGGGAGCTTGGGCGGGGCAGGATTGGTAGCCAGAGTACGGCGGGATGTGTTGTGCGGGATCTTACAAACGTCCTGGGGGGGGGGGGGGGGGGGGGGGAGGGAGGGAGATTTAACGCTGTAAGGGAGCTGCGGTGTGGTTGTAGTCTGTAGGCCGGAGAGGACTGAGACTTCATCGATGTTATTGATAAGGCAGCCGATGTAGACTACGTGACCAACTGTTAGCCGTGGCATACTGTTGTATGGCTTGGTCCATGATCGCACCAACACGCGATGGCGCGTCGAAGCGTGTATGTGTGTGCTGGTGGGAGTCATCGCCGCCCTGTGACCGATCCCCGACACGTCGTCGCCGTGTGGGGCGGACGCGCTTCACTGCCGGCTGATGGACCCCGCCCCCCCCCCCGCGCCCCACCCCTCAGGAGATGACCCTGCAGCGCGAGGAGGGTGAGAAGCTCGGCATGAACATCAAGGGCGGTTTGCACGGCCTCCCCGGCAATCCGCTGGACAAGCAGGACGAGGGTGTGTTCGTCAGCAAAGTGCACGGCGATGGGGCCGTACAGCGCGACGGCCGACTCCGGGTCGGCCACCGGCTGGTGGAGGTCAACGGCGTCACCCTGCTAGGGGCGTCACACCAGGTCAGTGGTGCGGGCTCTCACTTCCCTGGGGCGTCACACCAGATCACTGGTGCGGGCTCTCACTTCCCTGGGGCGTCACACCAGATCACTGGTGCGGGCTCTCACTTCCCTGGGGCGTCACACCAGATCACTGGTGCGGGCTCTCACTTCCCTGGGGCGTCACACCAGATCACTGGTGCGGGCTCTCACTTCCCTGGGGCGTCACACCAGATCACTGGTGCGGGCTCTCACTTCCCTGGGGCATTACACCAGGTCAGTGTGGCGGCTCTCACTTCCCTGGGGCGTCACACTGTCAGTGGTGCGGGCTCTCACTTCCCTGGGGCGTCACACCAGATCACTGGTGCGGGCTCTCACTTCCCTGGGGCATTACACCAGGTCAGTGTGGCGGCTCTCACTTCCCTGGGGCGTCACACTGTCAGTGGTGCGGGCTCTCACTTCCCTGGGGCGTCACACCAGATCACTGGTGCGGGCTCTCACTTCCCTGGGGCGTCACACCAGATCACTGGTGCGGGCTCTCACTTCCCTGGGGCATTACACCAGATCACTGGTGCGGGCTCTCACTTCCCTGGGGCGTCACACCAGGTCAGTGGTGCGGGCTCTTACCTCCCTGGGGCGTCACACCAGATCACTGGTGCGGGCTCTCACTTCCCTGGGGCGTCACACTGTCAGTGGTGCGGGCTCTCACTTCCCTGGGGCGTCACACCAGATCACTGGTGCGGGCTCTCACTTCTCTGGGGCATTACACCAGGTCAGTGTGGCGGCTCTCACTTCCCTGGGGCGTCACACCAGATCACTGGTGCGGGCTCTCACTTCCCTGGGGCGTCACACCAGATCACTGGTGCGGGCTCTCACTTCTCTGGGGCATTACACCAGGTCAGTGTGGTGGCTCTCACCTCCCTGGGGCGTCACACTGTCAGTGGTGCGGGCTCTCACTTCTCTGGGGCATTACACCAGGTCAGTGTGGCGGCTCTCACTTCCCTGGGGCGTCACACTGTCAGTGGTGCGGGCTCTCACTTCCCTGGGGCGTCACACCAGATCACTGGTGCGGGCCCTCACTTCCCTGGGGCGTCACACCAGATCACTGGTGCGGGCTCTCACTTCTCTGGGGCATTACACCAGGTCAGTGGGGCGGCTCTCACTTCCCTGGGGCGTCACACTGTCAGTGGTGCGTGCTCCCACTTCCCTGGGGCGTCTCACTGTCAGTGGTGCGGGCTCCCACTTCCCTGGGGCGTCACACTATGTCAGTGGTGTGGAGTCTTGGATCGGCTCTGTACTCTGGCGTGGCTTGAAAGCTCCCCGGCCCGGGCGTTTCTGTCGTTTGTTTACCCACTCCCGTGCTCTGACGCGATGTCCCGCCATACCGGACGGCGGGCTCCGTGCGGCGCCGCCGCGTCTGCCCCGTTGTGACCGGGCTGTCTCGGCACCGTCCGGTAGGAGGCGGTATCGGCGCTGCGCGCGGCGTCCGGCTCCCTGACGCTCACCGTGTGCCACGGCTACGACCCGGACGAGGTGGAGCGCCAGATCGCCGACGGCCGGCTGGTGCAGGCCAAGTCGGCCAGTCACTCGGTCAGCAGTCTGGACCGGCCCGAGTCGCCGGCCGAGCACGACCGGCCGCCGCACTGCGCGCCGGCCGACCCCGCCGCGCACGCTGGCACCGCCCCCGCCCCGGCCGCCGCCTGTCACACCGCCGCCGCCACTGGTGTGAGTGCCGCGCACACGCACCGCCTGTGTGCGAAGCACACCGCTGCGTGTGAAGCACACTGCCTGTGTGTGAAGCTCGCTGTCTGTGTGTGAAGCTCACCTGGGGGGTCTCAGCTAATGACGACAGCCGCTCTGCTGATGCGAAACAGGCTCCTGTTGAGGACCGGCGATAGGGAGCGCATTTGACTGAGGCGGCCCCTGCCACCGGAGACCACTGGACTGGGAGAGTGTACCGAGGCTGATGGACCGAAAGTGTGCTGCTGCCGTCGGCGCCGCTGTGGCGTCCCTGGACTGACGTGCCCTCCGCACGCCGACCGTCAGGTGGGAGCCGCGCCCGCGCCGTCAGAGGTGGCACCAGCGCGGCCCGACCTGCTCTCGCCCGGCCCGCAGACCCGGCCCCCACACACCAGCACGGTGAGTGATGACGCCGGCTCCGGCTGCGGCTGCGGCTGCCGGCCCGGCGCCAGAGCGACGGGCGACGCTGGTGGAGGCGCCGCCGGGCCGGGCTCGTGGCGTGGTCATGAGCGATGGGCGGTGGGGAGGTGCGATGACTCTTGTGTACATACACCCTTCTTTCCCCGCTCGTTGCTTTATCCTGCATCCCCGCAACGCCCCGGCTATCCGGGGCAAGTTGCCTGCATCAGCCTGAGCAGCCTGAAATGCCGTCCTTGGCCCCTCCCGAGCGCCCGCGCTTAGCCCAAAGAAGGCGCCCCGTGCGGGCTAAGTCTCGAAGCGCAGTGCTCTTAGAGACATGCCGTCAACCACGATTATCTGCCTTCCTTTATGCCTTAGCCCGGGAAGGGCCGTCGGCGGTCGATCCCTTCTTATTCCAACCAAGGAATCAAGTGTACATTATGATGAGCCGAGCTGATCACTGCTGCTTGCGTCGCCGCACTGCACCGTCCTGGCCCGGGCTGACATCCCCGCTGCTGAGCCGTACATACGCCCGGAAGCGTTTCCACCGATTGGTGATCCTTTCTCTTTATCATCATCTCCCGTCTATTGTAAGCAGCATTTTTTGTGTGCATTGCTTCGTTTGTCTGTCTCCGCCGACCTCCGTTTTGTTCGTGTTGTGTTTTATTACGGGACCGGGCGGCCGGTGCTCTGGCGTTCTCGCGTCTCTGCTCGGCCAGAACGCCGCGACCGCCGGCCGTCGTTGCGTCTCTCCGCCGCCGGTGCCCTCTATTGGTGGTTGGTCTCTGCTCTCACCCGGCGCTCTGTCTCTGGCTTTCAGGCGGTGCGGCCCTTGTGATAGTCCCCGGTCGCATGCGCCGTCGTGCTGGGCTGCTCCCTCCCTCTGCCCTCCTGCCCGCCCCCTCTGCCCTCCCTCGTGTTCACCGCGCGGCCGACTGTCGCGTGGATCGCCACGTGCCTCGGAGAGCGCTGGCGCGCGTGCGCGCCGCCTGGCGTGCGGCGCGTGAACCTTCAGTCGGCGACGGAACCGCTGTCGCGCTGCTAGTGCCATCGCCTTTTGTAAACAATATACCGGAACAGTTCTGCGTCTGCGTGGTTGGCGTGCCGACTGAGCTCGACCCGCGACCCTGGAATCGACGTCCCAGGCGCGCTGACGGCATTCATCGTACCGATCGACCACGGGGGTAGCAGTAGCAGACAATCGTGGGAAAAGCGAACTGACAAATATCGTGTTATCGAGCCAGGGTTTTGCCAGTTTGTGCAAGCCCGTAAAGTTGGCCGATGTTCGTGTCCTGCACAATAGCGGTATGGCTGTAATGCCTTTCAGTTTTGCGAATTTGATTCAGCAGTGCATTCGTGCGCATTTTGCAGCAGTTATTTTTGTTACGTAAGGCCAGACAAGTTATTGTCGTCCTTTACGAAGGGTCTGACCTAAAGCACACTGTATACTGAATGGACTGAATGCGACTTGTTCAGTACCAAGACGCCCGTGGGTTTTCTTGCCGCCGATAAAGCCAGACGCGGGCCCCAATGCCGTGGATACCTGAGGGGACTGCCTGCGTCCGCTGACCCGCGAGCGAGTCCCCCCCCCCCCCGCCGGTCGTGCGTGGGAGCATGCTGTGTCACGAATGGGGCATGCCAGGGTCGAACGGTCGAGCAGTGCATGTCGCATGCCTGCGCGCTGCTTGCCGGAAATGGATTTGTGCCTGCCCTGCTCGGAGCGCTTTGTAGCCGAGTACGTACGTTACCCCCTCCCCCACCTTAGCATTCTTAGTCGTGTAAGGTGTTGGCCCCGCGCGTGAGTTTTGCATGTACGTTTGCGAGCTGACCCAATGGAGCTGGTCAGGATTTCTCATCAGGTCATGGCAGGGGTCTTTCGGGCGGAAGACGAAAACGAAAACCAAATGAAAAAAATGAAAGCTCCGCGTTAAGAAAATGTCTGAGCTGGTAGTTAGTATTTCGTATATGCATTTGTATAAGCATTCTATAAAAACATTTGGTGCGTTGGAATGTTTTGACTGGTTTCTTAAAGATTGGCATTCCTTCCCCGTTTCGTCGTATACCGTAACTGAGTGGCAATTTATTCGTATCTGTCAGAAACGCTTGAAAATGTGGCTGTGTCCGTGTCCTGTCCCCCGCCCCTCCCGAGAGCAGGGCCCGTACCCCACTGAGCCCGTCGTCGCCTGAGTTTAGGCTCGCTGTCGTCGCCGCACCCCGCGGGGATAACCGTCCTGGATGTGGCGTGGCCCTTGCGTGTCCTGCCCTCAACGGGTCTAACCGGCGTGGCGGCCGCGCATGCGTCGTTCGGTGTGTCTAACTGGCTGCCGTGCGTGCCGTCCCGCCTTGGCATGCACGCCCAGCCTGCCGCTGCGCCCGCCGCCCTGCGCGTGGCGCCTGGTCCGGCCGCCTCGCCGATCGTCGCTCAGCTGGAGCCGAAGCCGAAGCCGGAGCCGGAGCCGGAGCTGGAGCCGGAGCCGACGCCGGCGCCAGCGCCAGCGCCGGCGCCAGCAGCGCCCAGCACACCCAGCAAGCCGCCGATCGGGCCCAAGCCGCGCGTGGCGCCCCGCCGCGGGACGGCGCCGTCCGAGGCGCCGGTCACCGCCGTCGTCGCCACACCAGAGGCTCAGGTGAGGACCGCCGGCAGCCGGCGGGGATGGGCGGCCGCCGAGAGCGACGCCGTGGACTGGTCCCGATGACATGGGTCCAGGTGCGCGTGCCAGCTCGGAATGCTAAGATGCCGTCGTGCACTGGGAGAAATGAGAGCTGTAGAAGTAGATATCAGTGCAACATCGGAACTTTTAACACCGCTGCGCACAATTTCTGACGTTGGGCGTAGTCGTGGAAGGTCATGCGTGTCTGTTTTGCGGTGTCTAGTCCAGTTGGCGCGAGCCGCTCAAGGTTTTCCCGGGTCATGTTGGCCTGCACGCCCAGTCTCAGCGCCAGTGACGGTCACCATTGCCGAGTCTCTGAGGACGGTCGGTGTTTAAGTGTACCGCGCCATCCGTACCGTGGCTGACGCCTCTGACTGCCGGCCGCGCGCGCAGCGTCTGGAGCCGGGGCCGGCGCCGGCCGCCGACACCCCCTCCCCACAGCCGATGACGTTCTCGGCCATGAAGCGGTTCTTCGAGACCGAAGTGCGCTCTCAGAAGGAGCCCACGCCCAAGGCCGGTGAGCTGGGCGCTGGACGTGTGTGTATGCGTGTGTGGTGTATGTGCTCCTACGGGCTGCAGGTCGGGGTTTGGTTAGAAGGTCCCTGGAATTGGTGTGGTATACGAATGCACGTATTTGTCGTAATTTTGGCTAGTGAAAGCATGGTTCTGGCTGTGTTTCATAACTAATGGGATGGAACGCGCGGCACATGGCCGCCTCGAGGCTGCGCGAGACTAGGCGCCTTTGTTTCTCGTGTGTGCTTCCTTTGTTACGAATGCACATGTAATGTTGCACGTCTTGTTATGGTTTCGCCTGTGATTGAAGATGCCGCTGTTTGCGATGCGCTGTCTGAGAAGCATGCTCTCGGCATGTTTCAGAGAAGCGGTTTACGTTCTTGAGCTCCGACGAAGTGGAGCGGATGAGACAGGAGGAAGGTACGCTGGGTGGACCTGATGAGGCTTTCATCTTTCGCTATTCGATAGTGTTTTTCCCTTTTTTGCATCATCCATCTGTTGTTATGTCGCGTCCCTTGCTTGCAGTTTTCGTACTACGCCAGGCGGCTTCAATTGCTGTGTGTCAGAATGCGACTCGCCAGCATGCACATTCGACAACCGGCCCACAGCCTCGCCGCCGTCCAGACAGTGAGGCGGCCCGCCGCCTTGCCCGGAGCCGCCGGCGCCGGCAGGGCGGCGGCAGCGGCTCTGACCCCGCACCGCCCTGTTTCAGAGGAGAAGTTCGGCACGATGACGGCCGAGGAGTTTGAGAGCCACCTCGAGGGCCACCTGGTGGTACCCGACTCGGCCGAGAACAGCGTGCACGTGCTGGCCGAGGAGCTGGGCGCTTCGGAGCATGACAGGTAAGCAGGCGGTCGCCGTGGCGACGGACGAGCCATGCGCGTGTGCGTCGGCCGGGCGGTGCGCCGCGCGTCCCGACGAACTGTCCCTGGTAGATGTCCCAGCAACACTTGTGTGTGAGCATTCGTAAACTTCGCAACGTTCTATTCAACTTTATTGCAAACGAATGGCTTACGAATATTTGTTCCTAGCGCAATATAAGCTTGGCAATTCTTTGGCCTCCAGGATTGTGGTGCGTGTCTTCTTACATGCGATACAATACTACAATGGAGTGCTCTCTTGCTTTAATTCGCGGCGGCGTAGCTCACGCCTTAAGCAGGCTCTGTCGTCCATAATGCCCATCAAATGACAGCAGTAATTAAATATTTCAGTTAGCCAGCAGTCACACTGTGTTTGAGGTAAAATGCAAATCGCAATTTCCTGGCCTGTCATGCCGTGGTAGAAGCCAAGCGATTCACGTCGAATGGACATCTGGGATCGCTGTCTTGCTACTCAGCGGCCGATTCTCGGCCGCGTTATCGTACTAAAGCCTCACAACATCCGCGTGAGTGAGCGGCTCACAGTCCGTCCGAGTCGGCCCGCTGAGGGTGTCCCCGGGCCGCGGTGCCGTGTCTGGGCTCCGCGGCGGTGCGGCCGTCAGCCGGGCGTCCGTGCCCCGCCGCGGCCGTGCCCGCGTGACTCGCGCTCCGCCGGCAGCCACCCGGCGCAGGCGCCCGCCACCGCCGACCGGCCGCGCATGATGACGGCCAAGGCCGAGCGCCGCCTGCGGGAGAGTGCCGGAAACGCAGCCTCCGCCGACGAGCAACAGATGTCGCCGGCCGAGTGGCGCGCGCTGCAGGCCGAGAAGCGCGCCGCCTGGCGGCAGGCGCGGCTTAAGTCGCTCGAGCAGGTAGGCCCGCCCTCTCCCGGCCCGGCTCACGCGTGATCCGGTGCTATGGCCAGCGGAGCGACACCTGGGTCTTAGGCAGTCATACCGGGTTTCGATCCCCGAGAGATGTTGAAGGACTTTTTGAGCATGCAGCTATATTGTATGCGCTTTATTTTCCGGTCATTATCACTGATGCATTCCAGCGTTCGTAGTGAATTGCCTGGGGGGGTATGTACGGGAGAGACCTGTCTGTTTTTGTGGGGAACTTGGGTCCAGTTGCAGTACGCGCATTTATGAAAACGCACTCATCCACTGAGTGAGGACTCCGGGCAGCCGCCGATCCTGTGCTGAGAAACAGCTCGCCCGGACGCGTGTCGGGTGGGAGGCGGTTTTGGCGCGCGCACGCGCGTTTACGGGAGCCGCGCGCCGGCCGGCAGGACGCGCTGCAGGCGCAGATCGTGATCCGCAAGATGAGCGAGCTGACAGAGACGCCTGAGGTCGAGCCGCCGGCCGCCGTCGACGGCGACAACAACCTGGTGTCGGCGCCGGCCGACAACAACGCCAACAGTACCGGCACGGACTCGGACGACAGCGGAGAGGTGAGGTCTGGTGATCGCCAGGGTCCAGGGGACAGGGGCAGGGTCCGGGACAGCCAGCGCCAGGGTGCAGGCGAGAGAGGCAGGGTCGGAGACAGCCGGCGCCAGGGTGCAGGCGAGAGAGGCAAGGTCGGAGACAGCCGGCGTTAGGGTGCAGGGGGCAGAGGCAGGGTCGGAGACAGCCGGCGCCAAGGTGCAGGGGAGAGAGGCAGGGTCGGGGGTAGCCGGCGCCATGGTCGGCTCCGGACATGGCGCGGAGGAGAAGAGCCAGGACTGTGTATGACGCTTGATAACGTGGGGCATCAGAGATATACTTGATGCCTGACTCAGCGTTCCGCTCCTGTGGGTGGCAGGTTTGGATGCTATCGAATGATTACATACGTGTGTAGCAGCAAAGACAGTCCCAAGTCTGCGTATGAGCAGATCACGCTTTTGATCGACAGTTCACGCATTTAGAACAAGACTGTCTCTCGCCTGACAACTAGACGAGATCGATGCCAAACATGTGTCATCGCTGGTGTCGGCTGACCGCCTGCTCGCCACGCGTAGGATGGCTGCTGTGTCGCGCGCGCGCACTGCTGACCGGCGCCACCATTTCAGGAGAGGTCGCCCAGCCCCGCCTCCGGTGTCGAGCCGAACGAGAACAAAACCAAGCGGCGGCGGCGGAAGCGATAGGCGGCCGCCGCGAGCCCGCGCGCGCGTGTGTGTTTTATCAGAGCGACATGTTAACGCGTTCCTTTAATCCGGACTTGTGCCGCGGCGGCGGGCGGCTCCGTTGTACTAACAGTCGGCCGCGCTCTCCTGCGGCCGCGCGGCGCGCTCATCTCATAATGCATCGGCCTGCCGGGGCGCGGGCGGGTGCGGCGCCGCGGCGGCCGCCGGAGCGGGCTGCGCGAGCGGTGGTGGTAGGGGCCCGTCTCTGCTGTGTGCGCTTTTATCTTGGCCGCGTGTGGGAGAGTGCGCCTTGAAGGCCTGGTCGTTGGACGAAGTCAGGACGCGTGTGGGAGTGCGCGTGTGCGTGTGGCTGAGTGGCGTTTGTAACACGGGACCAGACGAACAATCTTCCAAATATATACCATTGCTTGGTGGGGCTGGTGTCTGCTGGACGCTGACAGCCCCGGTGTCGGCGGCAGCGCGCATTCCCGTGGCTCGGCTGGCGGTGACGTGTTCCGGACTTGTGTGCCATTCGGAGGCAGCGCCGCTCCGAGTGCGCCCGTAATTTCGAGAGCGGACACGATTGGTTCAGTGGTGCTCGTCCCCGGTCCCTGCCGCACACATCTGCGCCGAAACAGTCACGATTTACTCTAATTTCATAAACATTGTGCCGCATATTGTCTGGTCAATGAGGCCATTGCCATTCATAGCACCGGGCGCCGCCGGCCGCTGCAGCGTGGCCGTAATCAGGTCGTGAGAATGCGCCGCGTCCCCGGCGCCGGTGCCACCTCGATCTGAGGCGTATGGGGCGCCGACTGTAACTAACGTGACCGGCGCGGCCGAGGCGACCCGGCCGTGTGACAGGATTAACAGGCGGACCGGCCGGCCGAGTTACGGCTGGCGGCGTGGACTGCACGGCACCCGGGCCGGCGCCGACGGGCCAAATCCGCCGCCCGATGGCGCCGATTTGACGCACGTTGCGGCCAGACGCGGCCGCAGCGGGCCGCTGATGGGGCCGGAAATACGTCACCGGTCCCGGTGGGGTGACCAGCCGGCAGGAGCGGCAGAGGACGAACTGGATGTGGGTCCGCAAGCACAGTGAAATAAGAGTGGACAGTCTCCAAGGAGAGGGGCAGGTGTTCACTGGACACTACGGCTTCCTCGGAATCAGTGGGTGGGCTCCGCGTTCAGATGTGTCGATATGTGAACCTCCGGAAGCAGATCCTGGAATTTGGAAGACCTGTTCTGTGTCTCAGATGTCTGAGTCCAGAGCCTTGGATATTCGGAAGCCAAGAACCCAATTGTTCATGGATCTTCTTCGGTAGAAGCTGTTTGAGCTACCCCCATCGAAAATGGAGCTTGTTACGCTGTCTGCAAAAATACCTGTAACCCCAAGCGCACTGTGCACCTGTCGGGGACAGGCCACGCCCCGTTGCCGACGGCGTCGGTCTGCTCTCACGCCCGCCGGATCCGCGGTGACCACGCCCAGGCCCCTGTGTCGCCGCACCCTTTCACGGCGGCGCACCCACGGATTGTATCATTAGCGACGATTGCCGCCGTCATTATTCGCCGCTAACAATGGCTATTGGCGTCGATCAATGTCGGCTGACCCTCGTGCTCCCGCGGAAGCATGCCAGTTATTGAAAGCTGCGCCGCGCGCGCACGGGCCTGCAGTGGGTGCGATGAACCGCAGCAGCAGGAGGGAGAGAGAGGAGGGAGTGGAGGGCCCGGTGGCTGTTGGTCTGCTGCGGGCAGGGCCGCGTCCGGCGATACGCCCCGGGAATACCCTTGATAACGTTCGAAATAGAAATTTCTCTCATGTAAAGCTATCAATAGCATCGAAAGCTACGCAGGTAATGCAGGTAATGTCATATAAAAATGTCCCATGTCTTAAAAGCTTCGAACAGCAACCATGCTGAACGGTTAGGTTACGCCTCTGGTGTGGAATAGAAGGCTTGCAGACTGTATAGCATGTAAATCATTGCGCGCTTGTCAGTGAGAGATACGTTTTCGGCAGCTTGGCCACATCAGCATGTCTCGGTGACATCCCCCATGTGCGCGCATTGGCCGTCCAGAGTTGACGCCTACATTCGCCTCCTGCACATCATCGTATGCCCAAACAGCTGGCGTGTGTTAAGGTCGATCCTATAACTTCATTGAAGACGAAGGCCACCTAAATATGATTTGTCGCCCCATCCCAACAGCCGCGGTGCTGCGTTTCCCAGCGCCCAGGACGCCCTCCGCACTTCCACCGATGCTCCGAGAAACGCCGCGTTGGGACGGCGGCTGTATTTGCACATGTTAAACAGGGCATTGGGCCGGCCGGCGCTTGAGCGTTCGGCTGCCCGCGGAGGCTGAACAAAACGCACTGGAGAAGCAGACGCACACATCGCATAACAGCAGCCGCGCGGGGTAACACACCGACCGGATATAGGCGGACTCCGACGAACCGCCCTGGCGTCCAGCCCACAGAACTGCTGCCGGTGACCACCGCCCCCTGATAGCAGCTGAGTGGTGACGGCCAACTCTAGTAACAGGTATCGCCGGTGACGGCTGACCGTGGTGACGTCTGCCCTGCTGAGAGCTGTCCCCGGTGACGTCTGCCCTGCTGAGAGCTGTCCCCGGTGACGTCTGCCCTGCTGAGAGCTGTCCCTGGTGACGTCTGCCCTGCTGAGAGCTGTCCCTGGTGACGTCTGCCCTGCTGAGAGCTGTCCCCGGTGACGGCCGATCCTGGTGACTGGTGTCACTGGTGACGGCCGGTCCCGGTGACTGGCGTCCCCGGTGACGGCCGGTTCCTAGTGACTAGTGTCACTGCCTACAGCTTATCCTGGCAGCAGCGGTCCGTCGTGGCTCAGAAACCAACGCCGCATCTCCGACGGTTTCGAAGTACCAACAAATCGTTCACGGTTCCGAGCCACAGTCGTCGCCGCGCGAGCGAGCGAGCCCACCTGCACAGCACTCAGCGCCGTCAAGCTGGCTGCACGCTTCGGCGCCGTAACTCCCGGTAACGAGGCGCCAAAGGGCCCCTCCCCGTCGCAATGAGTCTCCCTTCCATGAACAGTAACATCGATAACGGCTCTCGCCCGGCCGACGGTCCCGCCGCCCGCGGGCGAGCCCCCGGCTTCCGACCGGGGATGGTGGCTCGGCGGAACCCTTCGGGATGCACAAAACACAGGAGTCATGCCATTCGGTAGATCATCACACCGGGCGCGCTTCAGATTGGAAACAGGCATGTAAAGCTGTCAGGTCATGCGCTTATCTTTCAGAATAATGTTATGAGCGAAACCGTAGGCCAGATTAGTCCTAATTAAATTGATAAAATGTGTGACATGAGCGTTCTGGCCTATCCAGGCCCAGCCGGACCTGGTCAAGCTGTCGTGCTTTCTAAAAGGAAATGTCTTTGCAACCATCGACATTAAGTTCACATGGTTTTCACCGACAATAGGCGAAATTCCTTGAAACTCGTGGTGCACAAACTGTTACTCGTTATTATACAAACCTTTTGGACAGATTGGTTGTCCGTGCAACCTTGTAAATCATCGCGATTGCCCCTCGCCTTGGGATGGGCACGGAAAAATGCTATTTTACAACTGCGCGAACGCATGAAAAGCAATGGTCGAAACCGGTTCCACAGCTCAACGGTCCGGCGTCGCAGAGACACGAGACTAACAAACACTAGCGAATGACAAAATGAACAAACATACCAGCGCGAGTTTATGCCGACGTGCGCAGATAAGCACGTTCTTCTGTTCGGAAACAATTAATCCGCTCGTTACATTAGTGATTTTCTGGCGTAGTCTGACACTGCTGTACAAAAGTATACAAAATTCGGCTTGGTGCTTCGGCAGCGTACGGCATTGGTCATTTCAGCTCTAAAACGCTTAAACAAACTCTGGTTTGACAGAATGGAATGGGCGTCAACCTCAAATTTCCTACCAGCAGCCTCCATGTCCTTTGTGCATCCCCAAAAGTGTTCAGCGAACGGCTTTCGCTCGCACATAGCACCGCCAAAGCCACCAGACGCGACTGGGAGAGGAACTACAGCCTTCGATGAAATGTCATCTACAATGTATGGGGTATGTCCTTCAACAACAGCTATGCTTACGATCTCTTTTAGACTTGCCTCAACCCGGCTAAGCGTAGGGTGGTGCAGCCTGACACCCATTATATCACCGATACACCGAAGCTTTCGTAGGTGTCCTTGAACGCCGATTCTATATCCTCATGCAGAACCGGTTCGAACCGGAACCATCAAACCGGTTCGAACCGGAGCCATTAAACCGGTTCGAACCGGAGCCGTCAAACCGATTCGACACCAACTCGACTGCGAAAAGATTCGCCGGACTGAAAAACTGGAGCGCGAGACGTGTGTTCATGCATCAGGGCGCTTCAGGCCTGAAAGGTTCATTCTGCCTTCTTTGCCCCAAATAGTTATCCTTAAACCCATCTGTCCGGGAAACATGAGGCCACAGGTTCTACCGATACGACCAAACGTCGCACTGGCCCTGGAGACATGTTCCACTAAGCTTCATGACCAGGGATATATGTATTCTCTTCTCCTTTGGGGCTTTTAAACTGGTTGGTCCCTGACTGTTTCTACCTCGCACGCGTTTCTGACGTTGGTGATACCATGGCTTTTGAAGGGTTTGCCTTTCTCACCATCCCGGCTTAACAGCCCTTCTGCTTTCAATCTTTTCCGACTTCCAAGAACATATTTCGCCAAATGACCGCCCCAACTTCGGAGCCTGCCTTCTGCATGCGTGGCTTAAGGAGCTGATGTCATCCGCTGACTGCTATGACTTTGGCGACGGTGTCCACAGTCTGGCGGAACTTGGGCCGTTGCAGCCCGTGGCCGCCCGGTCCACTGATCAACGAAATGGTTGGTGCTTCAGAGGCGTGCGCATATGCTTACGGGTGAAACGAGCCATTCGCTGGCTATTCCCCGCCCCATACTGACGAGCGATCTCATGGTTCCCTTAACTGACAAAACAAGAAATGCCTCTCTTGTTGCGGAATGCATGAGGGTAGTCCGTTTCCTTGCGACTGACTGGATTATGGAATAGCGCGAGTTGCCTGTAGCCCAAAGAACCGCCTCAACCGCGGCCAACCTACTGGCCGATCTCAGGCAAATACCCGGGGCGGAGGTACACCCTCCGCCTCGCAGCTGCTCCCCCAGGGGGCAGCTCGTCCTCCAATTGATGTGGCTTGGTGGGGGGGGGGGGGGGCAGCCCTCCGTGGATAGCGGTCCGCAGTGGCCAAATCGGTGGCGTCCGCTGCCTGGCACCGCTCTCGGGCACGGCGTGGCCTGCCACTAGCAGGCGAGCTGCTCAGCCGCCAGCAGCGACAGCAGCAGCGGCGACAGCAGCAGCGGCAGCAGCAGCAGCCGTGTGTCGGGCCCGGCCGGCCGGCTGCGCGGAGCTGAGCTAAAGGCTG